GAAGGGAATTCTACTCTTGCCTTTAGCACGAAAGGCGTCAGGGTGGCTTTGGGCCAATCACAGGGAGATGGTGCGTTCTAGTTCTGCTTTGGCGTGGATTTTGCCCCGTGCGTTTCTCCAAACCCTTTGCTTAGTGCTAGTCTGCTTAGTTTACCGCTAGTCCCCATGGAGGACGGCCCGTTCACCTACTTCCCGGCACCGTGTGCCAGTTGGCTCCGTTGATGATGTTGCCCTCCTGCATGAAGTCCTCGTAGTGGCACATCCGCCGTTCGTCATCCACCATCACCAGGTTGGAGGTGGCGTAGACGGTGGCCAGCCATCGGAAGACGGCGTCGTCGGCGGTGGGGGTCAACTCCTGGGCTTTCCAGTAGGTGCGGGTCATGTCGAAGGGGTAGGTCACCACCAGCTCCCCTCCGTGCAGGTTGGCGCTCAGCACGAAGGGGTAGCGCTGCATCCAGCTGATAACCGCCCGCGTTTCTGGGGCAACCTTGGCAGGGAAAAAATCCCGTTCAGGATGAGCCCGAGCAGAGATGCCCTCCCTTTAGGGCAGGGGTCTCCAAGCTTGGCCCCTTTACGACTTGTGGACTTCAACTCCCAGAATTCCTCAGCAGGTATGACCATTGCTGAGAATTCTGGGAGTTGACCCACACCATTGGATGTGGCCCAGCTTGGAAGGTTTGATCTAAAGCAGGGGTCTTCAAACTTGGCCCTTTTACGACTTCTGGACTTCGACTCCCAGAATTCCTCAGCCAGGCACGCTGGCTGAGGGATTCTGGGAGTTGAAGTCCACTCCTCTTAAAGTCTATATCAGGGCCTTTTATGACTTGGCCCTTTTATGACTTGTGGACTTCGACTCCCAGAATTCCTCAGCCAGGCACGCTGGCTGAGGAATTCTGGGAGTTGAAGTCCACTCCTCTTAAAGTCTGTATCAGGGGTCTTCAAACTTGGCCCCTTTACGACTTGTGGACTTCGACTCCCAGAATTCCTCAGCTAGCATGGCTGGCTGAGGAATTCTGGGAGTCGAAGTCCACAAGTCTTAAAGTAAACCAAGCTTGAAGATTGCTATTATAGGGCATTTTATGGCCCCAGGGTCACATCCTTCGGCTGTCCCTGTTTGGCCCCGTGGATAGCTTTTATAGTTAGTCCTTGACTTACGACGGTTTGCTTAGTGACCGAATTTACAACGGCACTAAGGGCCATGTTTCACATTTACAACCATCACAGCATTCCCCACGATCAAAATTCAGACCCTTGGCAACTGACTCGTATTTATGACGGTCGCAGCGTCCCCCGGGGTCACGCGATCCCCTTTTGCGGCCTTCTGACAAGCAAAGTCAGTGGGGGAAGCTGGGTTCGCTTAACGACCGTGTGACTAAGTTAACAACGGCAGTGTTTCCTGCACCAGGGGAGGTGATAAAATGGGGGGGAAGGGAAATCCACTGAAATCCTGTCTCGCTTAGCAATGGAAATGTTTGGGTCGTACGTCGAGGATTGCCCGTGTCCAATTGCTCGGTTGCAGTGCCCGGCTTGAAATGGGGGGGGAGGGGAGGAGTAGAGACGCCAAGATGGAGGGAGCTGGGCATGGTGAGCAACCCACCGCCCAGGGGGCACCGGGGGCGGGGCTCACCGTGGCGTTGGGGAAGGTGTACGCCTCCGGGATGGGGATGTAGTGGTTGGGGAACTGGTGGGGGACCAGCTGGAGGTCCTCGGCGTCCCAAAGGTCCGTGTTGAGATCGGCAAAGTTGTGGTTGAGATCAAAGCCTTCGTACGTCCATCGGCCCAGTGCCCAGCCGGACAGCTCAGAGCCCTGCAGAGTCGCCAGAGAAAGGAGAGGATGGAGAATCCGCTCAGTGCCCCCCACCGGATGGACCGGCCTGGGGAGGTCGGTAACCCACTCCCCAATTATATCCTCCTTCCCAAAGCGGGAAAGCAGGAGGTGTTGTGGGTCTCAGCTACCAAGGGATCTGGGAACAGGGCCTTCTCGGTGGTGGCTCCCTCCCTATGGAAGGTCCTTCCCCAGAGATCAGATTGGCGACCGCCTGGCTGCTTTTCCCCAAAGCTTTGAAGGCTGGTTTGGTTCAATGGGGCTGGGGACCCCATTCGGAGTGGATCGATTCTGTTGTTGGTGCCACAGAGTGGGGGTTAGAGTGGGGGCTAAAGTGTAAGTTTTTAACTGGGAAGGAAGGAAGGAAAAAGAAAGATGAAGGAAGGAAGAAAAAGAAAGAAAGAAAGAAAGAAAGGAAAGAAGCAGTGAGGAAGGAAGAAGGGAGGGGAAGGGAGGGAGGGACGAACGAACAAAGGAAGAAAAAAGAAGAAGGAAGGAAGGAAAGGAGAGAGATAAGGAAGCAAGGAGGGAGGGAGGTGGGAGGGAAAGGAGGGAGGAACAAAAGGAAGGAGGAAGGAAGGAAAAGAAAGAAAAAAGAAAAGAGAGAAAGGAAGGAAGGAATCAGGGAGGGAGGAAGTAGGAGGGAAGAGAGGGAGGAAGGGAGGAAGGAAAAGAAAAAGAGGGAGGAAGAGAGAAAGAAAAAGGAAGGAAGGAAGAAGGAAGGAAAAAACAAAAAAAGAAAAGAGAGAAAGGAAGGAAGGAATCAGGGAGGGAGGAAGTAGGAGGGAAGAGAGGGAGGGAGGGAGGAAGGAAAAGAAAAAGAGGGAGGAAGAGAGAAAGAAAAAGGAAGGAAGGAAGAAGGAA